CTCGTGTCCCTCGACGACGACGCGTCCATCATGCTGGACGGGAAGGAGTACGCCGGCGGCGCGCTCCTGAACAATGCTGACGGGAAAGTTGACGGCGACGTCGCCCAGTCCCGGAAACGTCGGCGGACAGAGGACGGCGGCCCGAAGGAGTGGGTTGTCAGGACCGGCCAGTGGCGGCTCCGGATCCGGCCAACAAAGACAGCCAAGGCACCTTACGAGTGTGTCCTCGAGGCCGTCAAGATTGATGCGTTCAGCTCGGAACTGGAGCGCAACTCTTCGAGGAGTTTCCTGCTATAGTTCTATACCAGAGTTAGGTAGAAACGGATTGGTTGCTTAGTTGTCTCTATCCACTCCCCTTTTTTATATGCACACTTGAAAATAATGCCATCTTGGTTATTACCTCTGACAGGTACTCGAGAGCAGACGAATGAGAGGGCGTCTGGGGAATTTTCGATAGTACAAAGGGTTTTTAGAATTTATGCCGGAGAATTTGGTTGGAGAATCAACGAACGGAATGATCAAGGCTTTTCTATATTCATAGTTTTTGCGACAGTCTGCAGTAGATATATAAATATACAACCAGACTATATCATCAATTCGTGAACGAGCAGAGAATTCTTCATGTTCCTCATGCAGAACTCAGAGGACGGCGCCGTGCATCGTGCAAAGCCCAGTCCGATCGGAACGCAGTAATTAATACATCAAACACGTATCGCATGAACAGATGAAAATGGGAGATGAAAACAAAGCAAGGGCTAGGAAAGGGAAAGAAGAGAAGACAAGGTGAAAACCAACGCCAACACCACCCATTGTTCAAGAAGAAAATGCACGCAATCTGAGGCCATGATAATAATCCGTCCTTCGTCCGAAGAAAATGCTTGAGGCGCCAAGTGGAAAAAAAAGAAAAGAAAACAAGTTGGGAAGAAAGAAACATAACTGGAACCCCATATTCTGGTGGGCCTCGGGGGAGAGAGGCATGCTCTAGTAGAGGGCATCCTATACCCTCGACTTGCTGCCAACTCTGCCTGTTGGGGCGCTCATGTCCCTGCGGTCTTTGCCTTGGAGCATCTTCTTGTGTGGCGTAGCAGCTCCTTGTGCCGCACTTCTTGCCCTGCCTCGTCGCTCGCGAATTTTGGCTAGTGCCTGCTCTCTCGTCATGGTAGGTGTAAGAGCAGGATTGGTCGAATCGAAGCTGGCATGGCTTCCACTAGACGGCGTTCGAAGCTTTTCATTGAATGAAGAGGAAGACTCTCGTTGAGCTGTCTCATCGCGGACAGGGACGGTAGTCGTTGTGGTCACAGTATACAAGGTTGCCGAAGTATGAGGTCGGGGTTCGGGAGACTCTAGAGGCTCTAGAGGCTCTACAACATTATCACTCTCGTCGTTGACCCTCGTCTCGTCTTGGTTGCTGCTGTGACGGGCTTCTTCGATATCTGCTAAGTCTGGGACAGTAGGGATACTTGGGACAGCATGGTGAGCGTCGGTATGAGGAGCATTGAGGAGTGACATGAGCGAGGCCCGTTCCCGTTCCTGGGTCAACAGGGCGAAAGAAGGGGGCTCGACGGAGGGAGTTCGTGCGTACATGCGAGGATCTGACTCATGCTCCTCTTCCTCCGCCATGTGTGGCTCCTCATCATGATCTGAAGCAGAGGCGGATACTGGTTCGGTCTCCATCTCGGCGTCTTGTTGCGCTTCCTGTGCCTGCATCGCTTCAGCCTCCTGCTCAGAGACTGTTCGAAAGATGCCCTCTCTTGGACAAAAGATTGTGCTCAATCTAGGACCCTTCTTAGCTTTGGGCGTGGCTAACTCGAGTTGAGACTCGGGCGCTACGTCTACAGCTTCAGCCTCGACCTGCTCTGGTTCAGGCTCCTGGTCTTGTGGCTCCTCTGAAGGTGCTTCAACTTGCATTTCTGCTTGCTCTTCAGGGATCGGCTGGATCAAGGCGACTTCGGGTGTGCCATGCACAGATCCTTGTCTAGACTTGATGCTGCTCCTTGACTTTGACTTTGACTTTGAACATTGGCAGCAATGCATCTTACACTCCGCTTTCAAGAACTCCACCATCTCTTCGGCACGATCAGCCCGCTGCCGTTCCCATTGAACCTGCATTGTGAGATCCTCTATCTCGAGCTCTGATGCAGCAGATGATTCAATCTCCATGGTCGAAAGTGAGTATCGAGGCTCGACTCGGCTAATTTTGCGCTTCTTTTGGGTCTTCTTTGGTGGTGAGGCAAACTCGTCGTTCGGGTCGTTGCATGGCGGCAGAGGAATACGGCCCTCAGCAGCAATCCGGGCAATTTCCTCGTTCTTGGCCACTGTCCGGATGGCATCGCGTTCTTGTTCGACCACCTTCATTTGCGCCAGAACCTGCTCGAGCTGTTCTTGGATCCCTACCAGCTCATATCTGGCAGAGAAAGCCTCTTGCTCGCGAATCCGACTTCGTTCCTTCTCGCGTTCCACGCTCTCCTCTAGAGTTTTGACGGATCCTCGAGCTGCTTTGAGCTCCTCTTGGATCTTCACAAAAGAGGACTGCGTCTTGAACGTTTCTTTTCTTGCTCGCCTAATCTCCTTTTCCCAGAGAGTTTGTGTGTGGGCATGTGTTTCCTTCGCGCGGCCATAGTTTTCCTATTATTCTCTTGGTTAGTTACTCTACTCCGAGAGCCCATGAAGGCAATTGGGGGGGACGACAAACCATGACCGTTTCCAATCGCTCTCCGACCCGGCGTTCGCGTTCTTTCCCTTCGTCCACGGCTCTTCTCAGAGCATTGACTTCTTCCTTGCACCGTTTGGCTTCGACCTCAGCCTCCTCGCGCCCGATGATAGCTCGTTTGAGGGCGGCGTCGGCAGTCTTGCGTTCCATTTGTTTAGATTGCATCGCAATGCTCATACTATTGAACTGGCTGATCTTATCGTGTACAGAACTAACAGAGTCCCTCTGATTGACGCGATCTGGCGTCAATGCCCTGAGAGGGCCACCCACCGGTGAGCCCGGCAAGCTCGTGTCGGCATCCATCGAGTTACTGGTGAAGGGGTTTCGGGTGTTGTCGAGGATCCAGGAAGGCATGTATGGCCTATGAGATGTAATCCGCCTGGTGGGTAGCTCTTGCTTGATGTCTGGCAACGATGCCGACCAACTATGGGGGAGGCAATAACAGTTTGAGTCTGTATGGTAGACAGTTGGGTGGTGGGTTGTGGATAAGAAAGTGGTGGAGAGCAGCCGTTGGATAATGTACAAGCTAATCAGTGTTTACAGTGGTGTGCGCTGCCGTTGCTGCAGCGACGCCACCACCCAGTGCACTTTCCTGCTACGTCAACGGTCAGGCCACTAATACGACAGCAAAAAGCCATTTGTGACATTTCTTGCATCGAACCTGGCAATTAAATTGATCCCGTATTAGCTAATCACTGGTAGCTTTACTTCAAAGCCGTCTTAATTGATCTTGGCGGACCCGGACGCTCCGCCAACTCCCATCTGCTTGCCACGTTGCGTCTTCATATCCTCAACTGCAATACAACACATTCGTTCGCCCTCAGTTCCATCATGGCAGATTCCGAAGTGCGCAAGCGCAAAACTAAGACCGGAGAATCCGAGAAGAAACCCAAAGTCTACAAGACCAGCCAAGTCGACGATGAACCGACGTCGAACAAGTGGCTTGATGCCCTCCGAGGCCTGACCTTCCTGCTGCTCGCCTCATGCGCACTCAGTTATATGATATCAAGCGGCAACACCTTGATGTGGGGGAAGAGACCGTACTATCTGACCGTTGATTACTGGAAAGCACAGCTGGTAAAGCCCACCTCCATGTTCTTGCATGTTGCAATCCGACTTGGCTAACGCAGTATGCGCCTATGAACAGAAAGGACCCATCTACCTCACCCCCGAGGAGCTGACCGCATTCGATGGCCAAGACCCCGAGAAGCCCCTCTACATCGCCCTCAACGGCACCATCTTTGATGTGTCCAATGGCCGCCGCATCTATGGCCCCGGAGGTTCCTACAACTGGTTCGCTGGTGTCGATGCTGCGCGAGCATTCGTTACTGGCTGTTTCGCCGAGGACCGCACACCCGATATGCGCGGCGTGGAGCTGATGTACCTACCTCTCGACGACCCGGAGGTCGATTCACACTGGACGGCGGCGGAGTTGGAGGAACTGAAGGCCAAGGAGCTTGAAGATGCCCATCAGAAGGCGCACGCCGCGCTAGACCATTGGGTGCAGTTCTTTGGTAAGAGCACCAAGTACACAAAGGTTGGCTACGTTAAGAGACCTGAGGGATGGCTGGAAGCATTGGAGCCCCGGGAGCTGTGCAAACAAGCTGCCAAGGGAAGATCGAAGAGAAAGGTCCCCAAGAAATAAGAGTAAATATGCGGTTTGTATATAATGCACATGATTGTCATTGGTCTCCCACCATCTCCCCTCTCTCCAGACTGTAAAGGACTGTATACGGGTGTGACATTGTTTGAGTTGATTAGCTTGTTGAAAGTGGTGGACAACTACAACGTGGAAAATGGTAATATAAGCTGCCATATACTTGACTTATCCACTTATCTGCTTATTTGTGATTTATTGAGCTCTTCGAAGGCAATGATATAGAAGACTGAATCTCATCTAAATACGTTCCTCAAGACCACAAACAGTAGCAATACTGGTCCCTGGGCTGACGTTGGACTAAGGTTCCTTTATTGCATAAACTCACCCCACAAGGCAAGTTGATGCCTCGTAACTTGACCTCGATCTTGGGACACAATATTTCTTGTCCTTCCCAGACGCTGAAAGCCGTAGCCGTCATCTGGTGTGAGGTTCCGGGTATGGGAGAGTATGGTTCTGTATGATGGCGTTGGACCCTCAGTCCCGTACACGAATAGTCGTTCCATGGCCTTTTTTAGCCACAGTAAAGCAGCGAAATACTTATAGTGTAGGTGACACATGCCAGCAATTTTCGAAGTGATTACATCACCACGCTGCTCAGAACATCACGGCTCCATATAAGTGAGCCGTCCTTCACAGATCCAAAAGCAGCTGAGGCGTCGCCTTCTCCAAATCCTCGACCTATGCTTTTCTAGTCAGCATACAGATTCCACGCTTTATACGAAAACAGTAGATAATGATAATGAGAGCGGCGACTTGCCTCCAGGAACCCGCTTTGCTTCTCCACAGCCGTCCTGGCAATCGCCTCCCTCACAAAGACATCCACGTATTTGCCCACGGCGGCGTTCGCGTCTCGCGATATCCTCGTCGCGTCTTTGGCGAAGAACTCATGCAGGAGGCGCGTGAGGAGCTCTTTGGGGATCGTCTTTTCAGCCGCGGGCTCATCTTCCTCTTTATCATCATTTTGTCTTGCGGCCACTTCTTCAACCTCATTGTCAGAAGCAAATGGGTCACTTGACTGGGGTTTCTTCCGAGGCTTGGAGGTTTTTGAAGCACTATCCTTGGAGGTTTTCTTTGGAGGCATGTTGAAAGAAGGAAGAAAGATAAATTCGTCAGGTGTTAAGTGACAACAATCGATCTCCGATCGGGATATGGCTTCACGGTAACACGTCTTGGTGAAGAACCCAAGTGCTGATGTGGTGGGGCAAAACACCATCACATGATTGGCGCTGGCGGCATGGTGATTACCCCATAGATCAAAGAACACCAGTCGAATCGCTACTCTACTTTCGGTATATTCATTCACGGAGGGAGACAAGATGTAAGGGAAATTGCAAATTGTATAAATTACAGCGACGTAGAAAGCACGGCAGAGCCAAAAAAGACGAACGCCATGCCGATGCCTATCTATCTCGCATAGAGCAGCTGACAGACAACCGCGCTCTGGTATCTGTGACAACTTCCCCAGGTCTTCCAGCTCTCCCATTTTTAAAAACCAGTTGATATCGAGCCATACCTTCCAGTTATTCACGCCATTCCCATTCCACCTCGTCACACGAAGTAGTAAAATCTACACAGGAGCAATGATTAGGGTATTTAACCAGAGCCACCCTTGAAGGCCTTTCCGAAGAGGAGGAGCTGGAGCTGATCGTAGATGGACAGGACACCAGCACCGGCAACACCACGGAGAATGTTGGCACCAGCACCGTTGAAGAGGGACTTGACACCGTTCTTGGCAACAATCTGGCGGGCAGCATCGAAGGAGTTCTTGTACTTGACGGCCTCACCGGAGGTCATCATCATACGACGACGGATGGTGTCGAGAGGGTAGGCAGCAATACCGGCACCGGTGGTGACGGCCCAACCAAGAGCGAAGTTGGCAAGGAAGTTACCCTCAAGGTTCTTGGGGAGGAGGGGCTTGATGGAGTCGTACATTCCGAAGTAGAGACCACGGTAGACGATGATACCGGCAACGGAAGGCATGAAACCACGGTAGAGACCGGCAAGACCGTCGGAGGCGAGGGTCTTGCGGTAGACGTCAATGAGACCGTTGAACTGGCGGGCACCACCGGACTTGGCGTTCTTGGCATCGTTGGCAAGACGAGTACGGGCGTAGTCCAGGGAGTAGACGAAAAGCATGGAAGTGGCTCCAGCAGCACCACCGGAGGCCAGGTTACCGACCATCCACCAAGCGTAACCGTCACGCTCCTTCTTGAAACCGAAGAGCTTCTTGAACTTGTCCTTGAAGGCAAAGTTAAGAGCCTGGGTAGGGAAGTAACGGATGACGTTGGCGGTGTTACCACGCCACAAGGCGAGGGCACCCTCGTCGGCCATGGTGCGCTTGAAGCAGTCACCAATACCGGCGTAGCGGTGGGAGAGACGGCCAGACTTGATCATCTCATCCTATAGCGCAAATGTTGTCAGGATATGGGGAACAAGAAAGGCACTAATGGCTTGGAAAACCTACCTGGTTCTGGATGAGAAGCTTGACACGCTCAATAGGAGCAGCAGCGGTCTTCGAGACGGCGGCGGAGATACCACCCACTGTTGATAACGAGTTAGAACATATATTCCTCAACGCCGTGACGGCCAGATTTAATCGCCATCAAGCTGTTGAATATTGATGTCGTTATACGGATCGATCAATACGTACTCAGGAAGTCGGCCACGAAGGGCTATCAAGGGAGTTAGCCAATGGTCATGATGATGTGAGAATGGACTGTGAGCGTCTTTTTCGCGCAGCTGACGCCCGGGTCCAGAGGCATATCAAACCGTCCCCTCGGTTCCAATTGCAGTCTGCATCGAAATGAAACCATTGTGATTCAATTGATGCATGTGCATTGTGAACAGGGCGGGATCGGTTTGATAGCTAGATCTGGCACTCCAGGGCGCGGCATTTGCAATTGACAGCGACAGCAGCGAGAGAGTGAAAAAAACTTACCGGCATGCCCAGAACCTTGTTATCGGCAGACATCTTGACGACTGCTTCTGTAAGGTGACAAAAGGGATGAGAGGAGATGTGAGGATGATGAAAGGAAGAGAAAAGGAACTAGGTCGGGAGTAGTCGAGCGAAATAAATTCTGCACCGACAGGCCTACTGGGGGGAGGGAAAAAAAAATTGCGGCCTGGTAAGGAAGGGGACAGTTTTTGATAGCGAATCTTCCCGGAACCGCGCTAAAATGGAAAGGGAGCTGGGGCCGCTGCAGCTGGTCGAAGCCTCAGGACTCAAACACGGATTTTTTCTGGGTCCGCCAGGCCCTTTGCCACGGCAACCCAGATTGAGGCCTCACTCCTCAGGCGCAAACGCCTGCATGTCGCAATGTGAGCGACTAATTTTCTTACCAGTGGCAACCAAAGACGCCAGGCCGCCACATGCGCTGTATCAGTTCGATGCCGGTTCACCCCGAGATTTGCTAGGAAGCCGAGACCCCCTTTCCCCCTTTGCAGCGTCAGATCTCACCGAGCCAGATTGTCCCATCTTTTCCTAGCCCCTACAGCAGATCTGGCCTTTCAGGTGCCGTCCTGATATGCGGAGAAGGGAAAATACGCCTGGCCAGATTTCCTTGCTTGTGCATCGTCTGCTTCTGGAATATTGGAGGATGGGCAGTCTACGACCTCGGGCCCAATGGCCTCTGCCCAGCACGGTGCATACGACCACAGCAATAGCCGACTCTCCCTGTCAGAGCAAACTTGGTGCTCACCTTAATCCTATGCCCCGGCCCCGCCGTCTGCTAGGGTCAAAGGCGAGCCTATCTAGCAGCCCATTAGTAATATCCTAAAAGCTTTCACTGGACTTTGTACGACTCAGGCCTTTGTCTGCTCGCTCCCTTTAAGCCGAGCTCTCAAGAAAGTACTTGACCAACCAAGATTCCGTCTGGCCCTCCCCAACCTGTCCGTACGAGACTATGAGTGCTTGCCAAGTCGGATTAATCACCGTGTAGCATTTCCGATCTTGATATGTTGCCCGATAACCAACGGCTCTAGCTTATCCATTTCGCCGTCGGTACTACTCCCGAGTCATGCGGCACAAAGAAAGACACAGTGTGCTCGGTAAATAATAACCTTGGTTGCACTGCCTGATACTACTCCGATGCCCTTCTGCTGTTTGTTATCTTGGTCTTGACGGGGCTATACTCCATACCTAAAATGCTGATAAGCTCTGTGATCGCCGCAAACCCCCAGTGCGCGATATCTGCTAGGTTCGCTCAAATTCCAGCAATTCACTTGGGACTCATCAGATTAATGAGGCTTCTCTATCGAGCCCATTAGAAATAGCGAAATATATTGCTATCCACCCCAATCACTATCCTCAACTAATATCATTTTCGCATGTCAGTTCAACTGCGTATATTGGCAGAATTTATATGCTGGGCTGCAATTTTTAAAGTTGTTCGTAGCAAGATATGCATCATTACAGGGACTAAAGCTGAGGTAGGTAGTGAATCTCGTGTGTCAGAACTCGAACTATCCCCTTATTAAAATTAAGTGTCACTGCTATTGCTTTTCAGTCTTCTGAAAACTAGGTTTGCACATACACAATACACGCTGCGTTGACTTGATGTGGGATGGAATGCCCCTGTATACGAGTGTCTGAGCTGGCTGAACTTGATTGGTGCCACCAGCCCAAATCCAAGACAATTTATCTCTTACCATCGGTAACTAAAAACAGAAGGAGGGGAAAAGGAAAAATAAATCATTATTGCTCGTTCAATAAATAGGACGCTAATTGGCTTGTTCAAGTGCTCAGCGCCATGAAATAATCCCAAACAGCCAGCTATAAACTTTGCACACCTAGTATGCTAGGTACTACCTAGATGCAAATGGATGATGAAACAGATCACACCCAAAACCATGCACAAATTTCGACATATTATCACCGACAATTAGACAAATAATGAACGAATCATCAAGGAAGTTATTGTTATAAAAATGGTTGATGTTTCACTTATTATTGGGATTTGTGTGATCATCAAAAGATCCCAGCTCCTTGGCTTCCATGAAATGCCGGAGCGGTGGGTTGGTGTGCCATCTCCTCTCCAGCCACTTGTCATGGTTCCAGTCCGGTTCATTGATACCGTCATTTCACCATTTTCGAACTGAAGCAAATGGCATTGTGTGTGTGTCAATTGGCGATATGTACAAGTCTTGCATTACAGTTCGCTATAGCAGTATGACGACATTGAAGAGCCCTCATGGGGTCGGAAGGTTAGCATCAAACACACTACTCTAGAACTAAAGGCTTCTAACAAGCCAAGAGAACATATGATGAGCATGCCGAGTGATAGTTGCATGTTCTACGCAACAATGGACAATCGATCTTCAGGAGCATTGGATGCGAAAAAGTCACGTTAGATGTGGGCTGATTTTAACTGTAACGAAGTTCTTTCATTGCCGTCGTCTTTTACGGAGATAGTTCCGGTCCAAATGCTACACCGAACATGAAAAAGTGTTCCAAGCAGGCGATTTCCGCCTTGCGCCGCCCATCATCCCTGAGGCGGTTCTATCATGCAGACCATACCGACGCCATATCCCAAAGTTTTAACTCGTTTTTTTACCCATTTGCTTTCACTTAAGAGGAGCCAACGGCGCGAGCTGCGGAACTTGTTAGCATCGGGAATTTTTCGCAGGACCTTTAATTTGTGTGCGTGCACGTACTGTAAACCTTCATCTTGCTGTGGGTGACAACGGGCTTGATGATGCCCTTCTCCTCGAGGTCGGCAAGGGCCTGGCGGGCCAGGGAGCCGTTGATCTTCATGCGGTCGACGAGTGTGGCAACGGTGACCAGGCGGTAGGACTGGACATCCTTGTAGAGCTTCTCAGAGGTGGTCTTGTCGAGGATGACGGCGTGCTGGGCCTTGTCCTTGACCTTGCCCTTGGACCACTTCTTCTTTTGCTTCTTTCCTCCAGCTGCGGGCGCCTGCGATGCGGAAAAATTAGCATGCCGTATTGGTTAAATCATCGCGCCTCTCGTGAGGGCGGCGCGGTGTCTGGGCGGTCACGAACCATTTTGTCTGTATGTGGATGTCGTCGACGGGAGTGTGGAAGACAGGAATTTTTGGTGTTGTAGTCAATCAGCCCTCCCACTTGACCCCCATCAGAAGCCCGCAGTTCACCCAGGGCAGCCGAGCCCTAAGATTTTGGGTTGTGGTGGTACGTACCGAAATGTTCCCGTGCTGTGATTCGTCGAGGGCTCACACCACCAAATTTCGAACCACCTCAACCAAGCCCACCTCAACGCCGACGACCAAAAAAAATTACATCCGCGATCCCTTCCAGGAACACTAACCCGCAGCCCAATCAATTCGGATACCTTCGACTGCAACAGCCAAAATGTCTGACGGCGGTGATATTGAGGTCGAGAACACTGTTCTCTCCGACGTCCTCCCCAAGGATGTCGTCAAGGAGGTCGGCAATGTCAAGCTCTTCAACAAGTGGGACTACGATGTCGAGGTCCGCGACATCTCCCTCACGTACGTTCGATTGCCCTGGATTTGGGGAAGCCTTCTCTCGACGAGATTTCTCCTGGAGATGATGAGAATTGTCTGCTAACCGGAATCATTGGAACAGTGACTACATCTCCCTCCGCAACCCCGTCTACGTCACGCACTCTGCTGGCCGATACGCTGTCAAGCGATTCCGCAAGGCTAACTGCCCCATCATTGAGCGTCTGACCAACTCTCTGATGATGCACGGCCGCAACAACGGAAAGAAGCTCATGGCCGTCCGCATCGTTGCCCACGCTTTCGAGATCGTACGTACCACCACCAGCTCCGACGAGAAGGGGCCCTCAATATGTGATACGCACGTGAAAAAAAACATCCAACTAACCAATTCTTTTTTGCCCTAATAGATCCACCTGATGACCGACCAGAACCCCATCCAGGTCGCCGTTGACGCCATTGTCAACTGCGGTCCCCGCGAAGACTCTACCCGTATCGGTTCAGCTGGTACTGTCCGCCGTCAAGCCGTCGATGTGTCTCCTCTCCGCAGGGTCAACCAGGCCATCGCTCTCCTCACCACCGGTGCTCGCGAGGCCTCCTTCCGCAACGTCAAGTCAATTGCCGAGTGCCTGGCTGAGGAGCTGATCAACGCTGCCAAGGGTAGCAGCAACTCATACGCTATCAAGAAGAAGGACGAGCTGGAGCGTGTGGCAAAGAGCAACCGATAAATGTCTTGGTTGTCATGGGTTACCTTGGGTTGCGGCTATGGCGTGGTTATGGCATCATTCAGATATGCATTTTGCGTTCGGGACTAGGGACGCGGCTACGGATTGTCACAGTTGGCTCTAGTGCCTAAATAAAAAATTCGGGCTTCCTTTGGAGTAACAATTGAACGATGCCTCTTCTATGGTATACATGTGTCTGTTTGGTCTTGGGATCATAAAAGAGAGAGACTGGTATATTAGTCTAATCTGAAAAAAATTCGTATCATCAGCTTGAGGGTTGCCCCTACTACTGCCGTTATGCTTTTCTCATCTCATGCTGGCCCAAAAAATGACAATATGACAAAGATACTAACGTGAAGCGTGCTCTTCAGATGCGAATTTGATCTGTGTCGACGCTCAAGCGTTGGAACATACCCACATGTGATATGCCCTCCTCCTCCCACTTCCCCATTTCCTCATCGACTTGGAATCCCCATTTTGCCCAGACGCCGACCACCTGCTCCTGCGCATGGACGCAAACAAGTCCTTTCCACTTGGGAACGTCGCGCTCACTCAAGGCCCCTATACTTTCGAGCCCCAGCTCTTTGATACTGGGGTTGAAAAAGGTTGGGTTTGCCTTCAGCCACGCGAGGACTGTCTGCACCAGCAGACCCGCGATGCGATGACCGCGAAACTCCTTGATGACTGCCAGCCTTCCCAGCTTCACATACGGCTCCTTTCCATCATGAAAAGAGGTAGGGCGGTCGGTTATGTAGCGCTTGCCCCCAGCCTGGATCGGGGCCGGAGTATCATCCTCCCCCTCCAGAACGCCGTTCCAATACTTTCCTCCACTCATAGGGTGCGGATCATGCGGGAAGGGGACAAGTCGTATGGTGCCAATGGGCGTTGATCGAGTCGAGCTCTTGCGTGGCTGGATGACGTTGCCCCTCTCATCTCGAATCTCGAGCTCCTCGGTTTTGTTGATGCTGGCATAGACAATCCAGTGGCATGACCTTGAGTCATCTAAGTCGAATTCATTTTCCGCGGGGACCTTCTGCTCCTTTACGAACACCTCCTCTCGCACCTCCATGGCATCGAGGAAGGCAGAAGCGATGGTTGAGGGCTGGTCTTCGCGGGGGGCACCTGGCTTATAGCCCTCAAGCTTGCTTGGCTCGAGAAAGGTTATGAAAGGTGTGCCCATGGTTGCGAATTCAAGCGGTAGTATTCGATTGCTGAATTGGTATAGGTAGAGAATGCCCCTTGGATTTACTAGCCGTGTGCGCAACAGCGAGCCAACAGATGTGAGGATAAAACGGGTAGGTTGACGAGGCAAGCTGTGAGCCTCACCTCTCGACAAAGTAGATATGCACAGACAGGGAGGAGCAAAGTAACAAAGTCCAGTGGATGCTGCAGGGGCACGCCGTGTTACTTGGGAAGGATGGTGCGGGATGATGGCCTCAGCTGAAACCGAAGTCACGTATGAAGATGGCGAAAACTGCCTGGACAATAATGCAATGGCTTCCAAATACCAATTTCCATCCAGTGGATGCACTATGAGCAATGGGCATTGTGGTGAGTCTGACTCCCCGCACACAGAGTGGGCATGTACACTGTACACCGAGACCGAGGGGTCACATTTTGGGCAGTCACCAGGTAGCAGCGCTCTATAACAGATGCTCAACTTTGCACTGGAAAGTGACAGAGACTACCTGCCTGCCGTCATTGAATCAGTGGCGGAAGGCCGGGTATTGATCTAAAGTTCTCATCACTCTGGCGTAAATTGCTTGCATGCCGGACAGCGGGTAGGTAGGTGGCAGCCACTCGCGTGCCTTGCCGTGAGCAACTCTCCCCGTGCGCTCGTTGAGGTGCAGATTGCTGGGATCCTGCCGGTTGCACAGACCATCACGCAAATGCGTCCTAACCGACCCCTCGAATACCCTCCACAGGCACCCCGAAAACCAAACGCCATCGCCCCATTGTGTGCTGGTTGGCAGAGGAAATTGGAAAGTACTACCTGGTTGCCTCCCCTAATAATCTTCAGACCAAGGGGAGGACAGGCACCGAGTCAGAAAACCAGGGCAGGTTGCGCCGAAATAGAGGGGCGGATTCAGGCCCATGTACTTGAGGTGGGCAGGTACCTGAAGGTACATGACCTTAGCCAACCATGCGACTTAGCTGCCCCTCACTCCACCCGCCCCCATCTGATCATGAGAGGGTGTCGACGCTCAGGGCACAAATAAACGCGGCTGATAATCTGCGGAGAGCAGTATTGGATGCCAATCTAATACTGCCTGAGCGAGATGAGTGAATGCGTAGAATGGCTCCATACTGAACTGAACCCATCCGTGCGATGCTTCCAGGAGGCTCATTCCACCAGCCAACGGCTTAACGGCCAGAGGCGGCCTGCCCAAAAGCATCCATTCGGATCCGGAACCCAGCGCAAACAATCAAACGGTTCCCCTGGAAAACGGCTGGCCGGCCACAGAGAATATGGAATAAGCATACACTAAATGGTGCTACCCGCCCACCTACTACCACTACCTTAGTACCTAAATCACCTAAACCAACCTCTTAATTTTTGCCTGTTGCCTCCTCCTTCAACAGATGAATGCGAACTTATCAACCATGGCGACATTGCTTCGCTCTTACTTTGCACTGGGTCTTATTGACTCTGCGCGGCCATGCCATAGTTTAGGTTGCAGTCGCCAGCGCCAACGGCAGGGATGAGCACAGAACGGCGATGGTGAACCCCGTAGCTAAACACCTACTGTCCATCTTGCAGTTCAAGATGAAAGCTTCTTATCAGGGCATCGCTCTCGTCAAGGGTCATTAACTTGAGATCTGCCATCTCCTTGAGCTTGGCCATACTGAAGAGGACATATTACTTAGTAATTGGAATCCTAGAACAGGTGGCCAAAGCTTACCATTGCTTGACCTAGGCATCGGTCATCTTCAGACCAAGGTCAACCCGACTCTTGATAGCATTCCAGCCAGTAACTCTCGATGTGAAGTGCACACTACGATATTTTTATCAGTATCAAGGCTGTAGTATTAGCCGGTTTATAGCTTACTATCTGCATAGCTGTTAGTTCTGAATATGCGAGGGACAAATAGTATAACTTGCCTTGGTTAACCGAAATCCTCAGGCTTGAGGGTCGCATAAGTGGACGGAGAGTTGAGTATTGCCTTGGCATGGATACTAGCTTAGCATCTCGTTAGTCAGATAAACGGCAAGCTCCAGGCCGCGGCCATTTAGTCTGCTCCAATCGCTGGATATTGACTCTGCCATCGTTACACACTTTGACAATGCAGCTCTGTGGCCAGTGTGGATACCAGGATAACCCCACCAACAATAACTCCCCGATTTGGAAGCAAGGGTTCTCCGGAATCGCAGTGTGATGCAATGAACCATCATCAGATCAGGTACTAGGGGAGATCAGTCAAGAATTGTCCAATGGGCTCATTGGCGCCTCTCACACACAGACTTTGAGGATACACGACTTGCCGTGTTATCTGTTTCCCCTCAGCTCCCAGGCATCGGCCTTCCAGGTGTCGGCGTTATGCCCGTATCTGCTTGCATTCGCGGAAAGTATCGACACAATCCTCCTGCATTCATACATTCCGAGCTCTAAGTCAGCGGAAGATTTTGAGCTATGATTGAGGCCACCTCATATCCCTCGAGGAATTTTCGAAGGATTGAACAGGGAGCTTCCCATGACAAGCCTGGCCGCTATACCTTCTTCTCTGATAACGACATACCAAAAATGCCTTAGTCAATCTTATTAAAGATTTGGCATGAAGTACAAGCTACTTTGAGAGCTGGTGGCTATCCGACTCATCGTATTCTGCTCAGAGATCATTGGCAGTTGGCCTCAGTATGGCACAATAACAAGAAGACTTTGTACCACTGAGCTCATCTAGAGCCTCTTTCTATATGGGTTTATGACCAATGGAGGACTCAAGTCTCCCGTTTGGGCCTCACAACTCTTAGGAGCCAACTATCAGCGTGCCCAGTGATACAGCGGACTCTGATTCCATTAAAACCATTCAAACTCCAGGAGTCAGGCTTGCACGGCCAGAAGGCTTCGTGTGGCCTTGGAATTGTATCTCAAGTGTGATCGAATACGAAAGGGCCAGCATTTGAGATGCCTTCGGCGGTGAGCTTGACATCCACGCAAAAGATGCAAATGCAGGATGAATAACCTCGCCGCTTTACCTAAGGTAGGTAGGTAATTACAACATCCAGCCCGTCGGAGAGTGGAGGTTGGGGAAATCCAAGGTGAAGCTCAGGGCACTGAGCAAGGGTCATGAACGCCTGAGCAAGAGCGGCGTGGCTGACTAAGGTAAGCACCTGGGCCAGGTCACCCAGACTTGGAGGTACCTGCAGGTACCTCGGTACGTCACTACTAAATTAATTATTTACAGAAGCGTCCCTGATGGTTCAGGGGCCCTCATCAAGCCATTGAGACATGGACTTCTAGAGCATTTGAGCGAACGCATGCAGCATCCATTCCAGAGATATGAATCTGTAACGGCTTCCATGCCAAATCCCGTCCATGTCATCTAGCTGGCTCGCTGTCGCTCTTCCGACGATTCGTCTCTCATCTCGTGCCTAAGAAACCCTGCATGCCTTCGCCAAGAAATTGTTCGATCGAATGTACCACCGAGGAAACCCGCGCGCGCTGCTCCAACCATTGAATATCACAACGCTTCCCGCTGCTTTGTGAGACAGCTTTCACGCGCCACTTCGGAATTGCAAGCTCTTTTGCTCCAGAAAGCGTCGAATTTTCAATGCCCTGGCAGCCTCTTCCTCGCATTGCCTTCGCTGTTGCGACCTACCCTTTTCCTGCCTCGGAACCTGCCGACCTCCCCCTCGAGATTGGCGATGAGCTCTACGTGATCGAGGAGACGCCCAACGGCGAATGGCTACGTGGCTATCTTGTGGCCCCTCCCAGCCTGCTGGCTGGCTTGACTTCTGTCAAGGGCCAGACGCTGGAGGCACGCGTCTTCAGCGGCATCTTCCCAAGAAGCTGCGTGGAGGTGAGGGAGATGCTGGGCGATGCCGACGACATTGACGACGAAGATATCGAGGGCGAGGAGGGTGACGGGACCAGTACGAATGGCCGAAACTCGGCAAATACCCACGGAAAAGATGGCGAGGTCAGGGTCGCGAGCCGCAATGGATCTGGGGACGGGCGCAAATCAGCCAAGTCTATCAAGTCCCCCAGGCTACTACGAACGTTCCCGGACGGATTGAATGGCAATCTTTCCATACCTGTCCAAAGGGACCCAACCCAGCCTCGACCTCCCGCGCCGGTCCCCATGCTCAAAGTTGGAGACGAAACACCCACATCCGCCTCGGAGCCCTTGGTGGACGAGATCGCATCTTGCCTGAGAGAGTGGCATTCGACCAACCTGCACGAATTATTGCTATCTCGAGAGTACAAACGACTTGACCAATTAGCGCAACTCATCTCCGGGCTTAATCTACACCGTCAACAGCTTTTATACAATGTTCTCACTCTCCACGAATTCGAGCAAGTACGAGAGAAGGCTGTATGGGATCTTGTCGCAATCAATAAGCTATGCGGTGGGGAGGTGATTGTCAGAGACCCCAAGGCTCAGGGCAGAGTTTCGACGGGTGATGACTCGGCTGTGGAAGTCACCAGGCTTCAGTCGGTTATGAGTCTGCTGAATGAACCTCCCGAGGCGGCTGTGGACTCGGCAACTTTATATCACCTCCTTTTAGATGTCAAGGGCTTTGCCGGATCATCCACCGAGGACACCCAGCTTATGTGCTATCTAGTGTGCAAAACGCCCCATAAGAAGTTGCAAAAGGTATCCGAGTGCTTCAGCGTCGACATTGCATCAGAAGGGGCGATTGGGAACATTACTCAGCATGGCCAGACCAAGACTCTGTTCACAGACCTCACTCCCCAGGACATAAACGACGGAGGATCCGGCGAGTCTGAGTTATATCTCGTTGTGAAGGTGATCGCTTCCCAACGAGTTCAGGTCGTTAAGCCCCTGTCGAGAACGGGTACAGTCCACCAGACGGGCTACATCAAAGATGCGAACAAGCCCCTCTCTTCAAGCGGTCCGAAACACTCTTCTAGGCGAAGTTTCATGTGGGGCAACAAGCCGGCTCGGTCTGCTTTCTCGAGGGGGGCGTCCAGCAGCGCTAAGATGGAAGCTGTCTCGGAGCAGTCTGAAGATCGACCTTCTACCGATGGGACAGATCCGAAAGAGAGCTTCGGCCCACCAAGCACAGCTGGCTCATTACGGGGAGCCTCGATGAACGATACCGAAAATGTTCAGCGTCTGATTGGAATTGGTGTGATGAAACTGAATTCCATCGTGAAGCAACAAGAAGAGATGGAGCAGTTGATGGGGATATGGGGCCCTTCATCAAGACTCGGCAATGAGAAATTACCGGTTGATGAGTGGGATCCAATTATTAAGGAGATCATGGACAACCCTGCCGGTCACTATGAGAAATCTAACCGGGGCGAACGCCTACAAGTCTACCTCAAAGGCATGACACATCCCGATGCTAACACCCTCATTAAATCCACACCCACTATACTATCCGGAGTGTCTAAGACAAACCGGTTAGGCTTCTCGGGGGCACCTTCCAAGCCTCGGTCAGACATATACATCACCTTGGATTACGGTACGCTGGCAAAGCACAATCTGCTCTCGAGATATGGAGGCAGTGCAACCTCGCTCCCGTCGGCAACTTCAGGCACAAACTTTCAGCTTACAATCGAGATTCGGAAATCGTCTGGTCAACGGATAGAAAACTGCATATACACATCATCAAACACTGAGCCTTTGACGACATTCAAATCGATTGCTATAGAGAGGAACGAGATATGGGGTCAAACACTGCGGTTATCGCTTGCTCCCGAGGATGTACCGGTCTCTCATGTGGCCATGTACCTATCCGACGTACCAAGTCCTCCATTTGCTGTTGCATACATGCCACTTTGGGAACGGGAAGCCTTTATCAGAGACGGTCCACATGATCTCTTGCTATACAAGATCGACGAGTACACCGCATCAGCATTGGCCGGACCAGTGGGCAAGGGTGGATATCTCTCGCTTCCCTGGAGCTCCAAGGGTAAAGATGAACGCTCTGCGGAGGTCACTGGTCCCTTGGCCTCAATTCTCCTGGAAACCTATCTCTGTAGTACGAAATTTTCACAAGACAGAGTTATCCTAGGCCTCACAAAGTGGAAAGAAATTCCTCGCGATGACATCCCGGCTATATTGAACCAGCTCATCTTTGTGCCCGAAATTGAAGTTGTCAAGCTTCTCAACAACGTACTTGACGGGTTGTTCGGGATCCTGGTCGAACACTCTGGAAATGATGAGTACGAGGACCTGGTGTTTACTGCACTAGTCAGGGTGCTCGGCATCATTCACGACAGGAGATTCAACCTGGAGCCACTTGTTGACAGTTATGCCGAACAGCAGTTCAACTATCCCTTTGCAACATCGTGCCTCATCCGCTCATTCACGCGGCTGCTAGAACATCCCACCGAGCCGGAAACTGCTCGAAAGCTTCGGTCTACGTTTAAGGTTGTTAACCACATCTTGAAGTTCATTACCCGGTCGCGAGGTCAGCAGAAAGAGAAGGAGGCGGGGATTGGCATCAAATCGTCCACCCAAGGGTTTAGCCGCGATTTGCGATCAATTTTCAAGGCTCTCGATGCCATGATGCGCAATTCAGCACCTGCATTAGTCGGCAGCCAGACCTTGGCTGTCCAGCACTTCCACACGTGGTTGCCCGAGCTCTCCGGTCTCCTGACGACAGAAGAAATACTCCATATTGCTATTGACTTTATGGACTCTTGCACCAAC